AGGCCACAACCCAGTCTGCTTAGCTCCCCAGCCCTGGGAAGAGATATCTTAGAGATCTCTGGTAAGAGATCTCAGGAAGAAGATTCAAAAATATCCACTCAAGCCTGGCACCTATACTCCTAGTTACTCAGAAGGCTGAAATCTGAGCATCAGGCTTTGAAGCCAGCCTATGCAGACAAACCAGAGACTCTTATCTCCAATTAACCACCAAAAAGCCATAAGTAGAGTTATGGATTAAGTGGTGGAGCACTAGCCTTGAGAAAAAGAGCTCAGGGACACTGCACAAACTTAGTTAAAGCTCCCAAGTTCACACACACAGCCCAATGAGCTCCCTTCCCATACCTTAGCACGCTTCTTCCCCTTTCCACAGCTTATCATGCTCCTTTGCTAGGCAACACCAGACCCATGTAGTGTAGTAAAGGCAGTAAATAATCAGCCTCCAACCCCCTTTACCTCGAGATGGCACTCCTCTGGGGCAGCTACCACCATATAAGGTAACAAGAGCCTCTTAGAGTGACCTTCAGGTGGGCAGCTACAGGGCCCCCTATCCACTACTTAGGCAGCAGCCATCAATGCGAATCCATCATGATGAAGTCCCTGGTCCTCATGTCCACACCAGGCTCTCCACCTTTTAGCCCCTTCTAGCCCCTCCTAAACCTCCTAGTTTATATAGGTCACCTCAGACAATAGCAGCCACTTCTCTCTTGTGAAAAGGGGTCTTGAGGCCTATTTACTGGCAATAAACCTTTCTTTTTCTTTGTACCTGGATGTCTGCATGGTTTTCTGGCAAATTTTAACACACACACACACACCTACTCAAACTAGACACTTGTGTTCACACCTGTCAGAAGATTGAGATCTGAGGATCAAGGTTTGAAGCCAGCCCTCGACAGACAAATCTGAGACCATAATTGACCAGCCAAATGTTGGAAGTAGAGGTGTGGCTCAAGGAGTAGAGTGAATGCCTTGAATGGGAAAAGCTAAGCAAGAGTATGAGGCCTTGAGTTTAAGACTCTGTTCTGGTGCATGTACGTGCTCTTACACACATATATGGTAACATTATATATATTACATATATCACATATAAGATATGATAGTATATATATATATATATATATATATATATATATATATGCATGTCTGTCTGCACAGAAACTCACTTGCTTGTGTCTGCACAGATAAAGGACTTCTAATGAGAAAGAAATCTAGATTATGCCAGTTCCATATTAATAAAGGGCCCAGATCTTTCCCAGTGACTCAGTAAATTTTGAAAGAAAGGGAACCTCAAGAACACCCACAAAGAAAGGCAGGATTCTTGAGATGTGAAAAGTCCTAATTTCTCTGTAACACTGAGCTCAATCTCATTGTGTCCTACCTGACCTCATCTCCAGAGCTGATACAGGGACCAGGCTGGACAGTCACATATGTTGTTGAGCTTCTACCAGAAGAGGAAGTGACAAGATAATTTCTAAAGGCTCGCTTGTACCCAAGCCCTGCAGGCCTCGGGCTGCAGCATTTGGCTCACCCTCCGGCCTTTCCTCCCATAGTCAAGGCAGCTCTTGCACAATCCCCAGTGCCATTCAGCCTGCACCAGAACCACAGCAGATGGCAGCTATCTGAGAAAGCACATTCCTTGACAGGAAGTGGAAAGGAAAACAGATTCCAGGCTGAGCTGTTGGCACTGATACTTCCAACTCCCAAATCAATTGTGGTATTGTGGGTATCAAACAAGTGGGTTCCAGGTACCCAGAATTAGTTATGAGGTAAGACCCAGGCTATTCTCCACAGCACCCAGAAGCCACCAGGTGCACCTCACAGTGTGCTACTGAAGTGGTCTAGAGGCACTTCAGCTTCATTTCTCTGCCCTTTTAAGAATGAAAAGGCAGGATAGAGTTTAAGGTAAAAAGAGTAAGTTTACTTGAAGGTGAAATCAACCATGAAAGTAAGTAGGAAGAATGCGCAGGATCCTAGAGTGGGGTGGGGACTTCCTTGTTACCCATTAAGAAAAAGTCAGAGGATTCTGTTTCCCACTAGATATTTGGCCCTTAGGGCCCTCCCTCTTGAGGGATGTTTGTTTGGTTTGATTTGTTAAGCAGTGATCACTCACTGTTGAAGGCCTTTTGGATTAGATATGAGTTTGGGTTGGTTGGACCCCTCCTATCCTGGGGTGGGTGGGTTTGCCTTCTGCTTTCCCATCTGATCTGAACACATGTACCAGAACTTGAAACCTCCCAGCCTAGACAAGAACAAGAAAGGTGATTTATGTCCTTTCTTGATTTCCAGACAACTGGTCCTTTGCCCCAGATGTCTTCGATCTAAAGTACCTATGTGGGGTCAAATATCTGTCCCTCTTAGTAGGCCTGCTTGACAACATGTCTGAGAAAAAAATCGATGTAAAGAAAATATTTATTTTGGATCATGGCTTCAGTTCATGATTACTTGGCTCTGTTATTTCTAGGCCTGTGGAGAGAGGCAGAATATTATGGCAGGGAATGGGTGATGGAGAAAGCTGCTCATTTCATGATGCCCAGAAGCAAAGAGTGAAGGGAAGGGGCTAGAATGAAATAGATTCTTCAGTCTCCCACCCATTCCTGCATGATGTACTTCATCTGACTAGACCCTACCTCTCAAAGTTTCCATAATCTTCTAATAGTCTATGAGGTTATTAATTCACAATAGATTAATCCATTGATGAGCTCAGAGTCTTTATGATCCCATCATTTTCCAGAGCCTTTAGTTCTGAACACTGTTGTATTAGGGACCAATTTCAAGACATCAGACTTCATTCAAGACATTCAGAAGTGTCTATGCTGCTGTCTTTAAGTGGTTCAATCTAAGGGTTTTTTATGTTATTGTTGTTTGTTTTTGTTAGTTGTGGGGCTTGAACTCTAGGCCTGGGGGCCACCAAGGCACTGTCCCTAAGCTCTTTAGCTCAAGGCTAGTGCTCTACATCTTGAGCCACAGCGCTACCTCCAGTTTTCTTGTGGCTAATTAGAGATAAGAGTCTCTCATGGAGGGGCTGGGAACGTAGCTCAGTGGTAGAGTGCATGCTTTGCAAGCATGAGGCCCTGGGTTCGATTCCTCAGCACCACGTAAACAGAAAAAGCCGGAAGTGGCGCTGTGGCTCCAGTGGTAGAGCGCTAGCCTTGAGCTGAAGAGCTGAGGGACAGCGCCCAGACCCAGAGTTCAGGCCCCATGACTGGCAAAAAAGAAAAAGAAAACAGTCTCATGGACTTTCCTGCCTGGGCTGACTTTGAACCATGATCCTCACAGGTCAGCCTCCTGAGTAGCTAGGATTATAGGTGTGAGCAACCAGCACCTGACTTAATCTAGGGGTTTTTATACCTTGAGCTATGCCCTGATTGGTTGCCCCTTTATATAATGAAACATTTGAAAAGTGGTCTTTCTATTGGTGGAGTCTCATAACATTCTGACTGGATTTTTCTCCCCAGTTCTGAGCTTGAACTTGAGGCCTTGGCACTCTCTCTGAGCCTGTGCTCAAGGCTAGTGCTCTACCACTTAAGCCACAGTGCCACTTGCAGATTTTTCAGAGTAGTTTATTGGAGGTAAAGGTCTCCTGAATTTTTCTGTACTGGCTGGTTTTGAACCTTGATCCTCAGATATCAGCCACCTGAGTAGAGAGGATTACAGGTGTGAGCTACCAACTCCAGGCTGGATTTTTTTTTAATTCCCAATAAGGTCCTTTCTGCAAATTCTCTTCCTCCTAGGGTCAGGGGAAGGCTATGGAAATCTGAGGGACAAATGGGATTAGGGAGGGGCAGAAGCAGGATGTTTTGATTTCCTGCTGGCCCTTCTGCAACAATGTCATCTCTTTTGTCTTTGGTTTCCACATACCAAACCAAGATGCTGACCCTGCCTCCTAGCTCACATCTCCTTGAATCACCCAGAGTCCCAACCCCATCAGCCAGTCCAGCTATAGACAACAGAACAAAGAACCCCAACACCATTAATACAGTCAGCCCTGAGTCAGTCTTAACAAGACAGGCTCCTGCCTATAAAGCTAGCTACTCAGGAGGCTCAGATCTGGCTGAGATCCCTGTTCAAAGCCAGCCTGGGCAGGAAAGTCCCTGAGACTCTTATCTCCAATGAATCCCAAAAAGCCAGAAGTAGAGATGAGGCTCCAGTGATGAAGCTCTTAAGCACAAAAGCTCAGGGCAGCTCCCAGGCCCTGAGTTCAAGCCCCTGGACCCTCTCACACACAAAAAAAACACAAGACACAGAACAGAGCAAGTACAGCTTTATCAGGGGTCACACGGACTGGCAGCCCCATAGTGGGGAATAGGGTCTGCACAGCAGGCAAAGCTGGGCTTTCAGGCATTGCTGGGGATTGGAGTCATTCAAGCTCCTCCAAGCAGAACAGAGGCACCCTGTTTCAGGTCAGGGACAAGGAGAGTGGGAGGATTCTACTGAAGAAATGAGGAGCTGAGACTTCAACTCTATGAAAAGCACTGGTAGAAGTAATAGAAAAAAAAAGGCAATACAAAGGGATGAAGTACCCCGTTTTCAGATGCCCCCTCACAGACCACCAGAGACCACGATCAGTGCAAACAGCAAAGAGTCGTTTATTGCAAGCTCCAGCTTGGTCCTCCGCACACCCAGCAACTGGTGACGCTAAGAGGCCCTGAGCATAGAATCAGCGCAGTTTTTATAGTATTGAACAAACAACTTTAAGGAACTTTTACATGAGAAATTACATGATTGGTTAACATTTCAAACAAGCTAAGGTGGGCAAATGTGATTGGTTGACCTTTACAAAAAATATCCTTGGTCCACAGCTTGACCACAAATGGTTATGAGTCACACCTGGACCAACAGTATGCATAGCATGTTTTGCTCTGGGCTCTGAAGAACCAGTTGGTGGGAACATTATATGTTTTAACTGAAACTCTTAGCTCATGGTCACTCAGGGGCAAAGTCACTTGGGGGCTAACACCTGCCTTAAGCAAACGCCATCTATGGCTCCAAGAATTGTGCCTGGCTTTCTGTCATAAATTCCTAGCATTGGGGCTAAAGTGGGCCAGGAGTTAAATCGCAGAACTGAGATGGGGTCTTAAGTACAATGGAATTGCTTAGGTTTTTCAGGGAAAGGATGACAAAACTGTCTCAGGTTACAGGTCTGGTCTGGATCTGTCTCCAAGGTCCCAGAGCCAGTAAGGACAGCTGTGCGTCCTATTTGGGGTTCCACAGGGCCATCTTTGCAAACACAGGTCTAGAGAGAAAGCGGCTGGTCTTCATGTAGGTGGAGATCTTGTTCAAGCCCTGTGAGTAAGAAGGAGAAAGCAGATCAGATCTTCTGTCCAATGGACCAAGTATCCTTCCTTTAAGAACACTCTGTTCTTGGGGGGGGGGGTCAAAGGCCAGGGCACGTTCTAGTCTATGGATTCCCCCTAGCCATGAGAAGGAAGCTCTTCAGTTCCTTATACTGAAGAAAATTCTGCTCACTATGTAAGATTCTTTATATAAAGTACACATTACAATATAGACAAAAAAACAAAAACAAAACCCTCCCAGGGCTGGAATCAGCCTGTCACTCTATGCTGACTGGGAATTGGCCCCAAACTCCCCGCTCAAAGCCCTATCCTGTGTTGTCTGTACAGACATGCTCTTCTTTCACAGAGAAGCCCCTCCTTATCTCAGTTAGCACAGAGGAGAGATCTAGCAGAACAGAGAGGCCAAGACCTGACAGTGTCTGCAGAAAGAGATCCCAGGTCTTACTCTGTAACACAGCAAATCCTGACTGCAAGGGGACTCCATGAAAAGTGAGCCAGAAAAAAAGGACAGATACATGCTTATCATTCTTCTGTAGCAGAAAGCACTAACTTTGAAAGCAGGCACCTGAACCCATACTTTCTGTGGCCCTGTAGTGGAAATGACTAAGCGAATCCTTAAGTATACTATGTACCATATTTTCAGTGCCCAAATAAAAGGACTCAATGATCAAAGGACTAGCCAGGTGCCAGTGACTCACCCATGATCCTAGCTACTTTGCTTTGAGAGGATGATATTGGGAGAATTGTGATTCCAGGCCAACTCAAACAGAAAAGTCTACAGGACCTATTTCAGTAGGAGTTAGGCATGGTCACACATGTCTCTCATCAAAGATACACTGGACAGTGAAATCCAGGACGATTGTGCTCTAGAAGCAACACCCAGCATGAAGCAAGACCCTGGCTCAGAAGTAACCAGCACAGACCAGGCACCAGTAGTTCATGCTTGTACTGCTAGCTACTCAGGAGACTGAGATCTGAAGGTTGAGGATCAAAGCCAGCCAAGACAGAAAAGTCCATGAGACTCTTATCTCCAACTAACCAGCAAAAAGCTGGAAGTGGAGAGGTAGAGCTCAAGTGGTAGAATACCAGCCTTGAGCAAAATATTCTCAGGGACAGTACCCAGGCCCTGAGTTCAAGCCCTATCACCAGAACAAATATAAAAAAACAATCACATGAAAAAAATCATGCACCAAAAAAGACTAGAGGTATGCCTCAATGAAAGCACACTGCCAAAACTCTGACATTTCCAGGAGAAAGACAAGATAACACAAGAAAGTAGAAAGAGAGGGAATAAGAGGGAAGGAAGGAAAGAATGAAGTAAGGGATGAAAGAAAAGAAAGAAAAAGAAAGAGAGAGAGAGAGAGAGAGAGACAGAGAAAGAGAAAAACCCAACAAGGCAAATCTGGGCAGAGCTGGCTGATTTCAGTGTGAAGATGTCTGGTGTCTTCCATCCCAACCCACTACAGACCCACAGCATTGCACAATCTCCAAGGCCACATCTTTTAGACCAGAACCAAAGCTGATAAAACCTGGCTAGGGAAAGCATGTCACTTCGTGGGGAGGAGAAAAAGAGAACAGATTCCAGCAGTTGCACTGACACCTCCAACACTCAAATCTCTAACAAAGAAGGCTTTATGGGTGTCAAACAAGTGGATTCTGGGAGGCCCATGACTAGCTGTGAGGTGAGGCCCAGGCTGGGCTCCTCAATGTCTAGGTAGCACCATGCATACCTCACCATCTAGAATGTCCACTGCATTCTGCTATCTCAGCCCTCGATGGGGAGACATCATTTAAGTCCCATGGAGCCAAGCAATGAGCCTTATTCAGAGAAGATAGGCAGAGACTATGAGGGACACTGAGTGAGAATTCAACCTGTTTCATACTTGAGATACTAAGGAATAGAAGGTGAAAGATGAACATTGAACAAGTGAAGATAAATTCCTGCAACAGAGGCCTGGCATATCTACTCAGTCCAACACTAACCATAGTGCTGGGGTCTCAGTTCTTCCTTAGCCAGGGATCTAACCAAGCAAAGCTTCCTACAGAGCAGGTGTGAATATTGTCTGTGTCTTGGTACTTCCTATCAGTCCCAACTCATCTCACTCTCTCAGTGACACCTGCTCACACTCTGCTGACTCCTCCTCCTTCTCTACAGGGTGGAAACTCAAGCTGCACAAGCTCTGGGGATTTTCCTTCCCCTACAAAGCAGACAGCCACTGATGGCTGCCTTTAGGCTAAACCAGAGGCTCACAACCCAGCACAGCCTCCCTGGCACTGGGACATTGAACATTCTCAGGTTCCTAATCTGTCCAATGGGATGGATTGATCTAACCACCCTGCAGGAATGTTATCATGGTAAATTTAGCTCAGTTGATGCAAATCGCCAAGCACAGGGGCTGGCAGAAAGCCAGTGAGCAGTAAACCCTAGTTATTCTTCACTCAGCTCCAGGACTATGGAGGCATCATAGAAAGGGAGAAGGGAAGAAATTCATCTATGAGGAAGGAGGATTGGAGGGTGTCACCTCAAAGCGGGACATGAAGTCCTTCAGGTTGGGGAACGCATCCAGGCACTTGGGTTCAAACATTCTGTGCTGGTCAAGAATATCGTAAGCCAGGAAATCCACAAAGGTGATCTGCAGAAAGCTGAGAATGAATGGACTGAAATTTCACAACCAAGAGGAAAAACAAGTTCTCTTCAGCATGACTCTTCCCTTTACCTTGTCCCCTGCAAACCATGGCCGCTTCCCCAGGAACTGGGAGAAGAGCTTCATTTTGTCAGGAATGCCCTCCAAGTACTCAGGCTTCAGCTTCTCCTGAGGCAGAAAACAGCAGTAAGTGCACCTTCAGATGCAAGCCCTAGCTGCCCCCAGCAGAGCTTGCTCTCAGCTGGATTGAGAAGACCCCAGCCTAGGAAGGAGTGGACAGCTACCTCCCATGTAACTGGGGCTATTCCAGGGTTCAAGCTTCTATTGAATGCATCACCATTTTTTAAATAAATAGGTGACAGAGCCCATATTTCAGGGGTGATGAGAAGCCCGAGAGGAATCCAACACTGTCCCCCATCTGTCACCACTGATGTACAAGACACTTCCTATGGTTGAGGCCCAAAACTGCTGTGGGAACCATCAAGCTATGAACTCAGGCAGACTCAAGGATGCAAACAATGGAAAACACTCAGGGAAATAAAAGCAGGATGTTCTACATAGTGGAAGGTCAGTGAGAAGGCACAGACTTCTGTAACATTAAAAAACAAAACAAAAGGAAAGTGAATTTGAGGAGCAGGAAGGAAGGGGAAGGATGAGAGGCGCTTCATCCATGTAGACTTTCCAGAAAGCCAGCTCATCCTTGTGGGTGTTAAGGGGACTGGCACTCTGGGAAAACAACTGGGACACAGTTCCCAGGGGAGAGTGCCCTTCCCACTCAATTGTCCTCTTCTTCTTCCTACTTTAAAGATATGTATTCCAGGATCAGTGATGTAGTTAGTTTTCAGTGCAGAAATCAGTGATTTCAGCTGAGGAATTCTGAACACAAACTTTACTGTCCAGATACTGAATTTTCCCCTGGAGAAGCTGAGCTGAATCCTAAGAGTTAGTGGAAATTAATTGTAAGTTGCATCTGATGTGCTGTTAGATTTGAGATTTACTCTATTTGGTAGTTAGGAACAGTACTTGCACAATGAGTTCAGAGAGTTCAGATGGCAAACAGAACCAGAGCAGATGAGAATCTGAGGGTCTAAAACCCTAACCCAACCATAATTCATTCAGGTTAAGGAAAAACTCACAAAATCAGGGCTGTAGCAAATCGTGCCTAGTTGTACGCGAGTGTCCCAAACCTGGTTCTCCAAAATGTCCACACGAATCTTCTCCTCCTCTGTCTCCCCACCTGCAGCCACACAACTCAGTTGCATCCTCTCCACACCACCCCAAACAAGTCCAAGGGATGACCACTTTCCGCCCCTACACACCCACCCAGCCACCAGCCCCACTCACACAGGTTGTGCTTGCGGGCAATGTAACGCAGGATGGCATTGCTCTGGGTGATCTTGTGAGCTCCATCAATCAAATAGGGCAGCTGGATGTACAAGCAGGGAAGGTTACAAGGGGCCCCAGGACCCAGCAGCCCTTCCCTGGGTTAGGACAGACACAGTGTGCCTGGCCATGCTGAGCCCTACATGAATACTCGGCAAGGGCTGGGACATGGAGCATCACAGAGAAAAACACAAACAGTCTGGAATAACTGATCCTAAAACCTACAAGCTAGAAAAAGAGATGCAAGAAGGTCACTCTCATTTCCCCAGACCACCCCTTCCCCTGCACCTACATTGGGGAAGTCCAGGCCCAGCTTGAACTTCTCACTCAGCCACTGGCTTTTGTCATAGTCAGGAGCTGTGGTAGACAAGATCAAGTGAAAACAAACCTCCCTGAGTCCAGCCCTCCTTCCCCAGGACCCCCTGAGGCAAGGGATCTGCACTCTGACCAGCTGTGTCCCACCTTCCAAGGCTACAAGGACAAAGAATGCAATGAGAGATTTACAAAACCAGGCTCACAAAAAATTTAAGTCAGCACTTCAGGAAACCAAACGGAATTACAGACAACCCTCCACTCCCAGCCCCTGCCTTGAAAAATAACACTGGGTCCTCCAAGGGTTTCCTGAACAGGCAGGTGCTGCATGCGAGTGGAGGAGACCTGCAGAGCTGAGCAACAGGTGACCACAGTATAGGTGTCAGGGCTCCAATGGGCAGCGCAGGAGGGGTCAGGATTCTGCCCACGAAGTGTCTTTACCATCTCCCATCGAGTATTTCTTCTCCTCATAGCTTGTGTCTGTGTATTCTAGAAGCAGGCGGATGGCATGGGCCAGCTGGGAGAGATGGGAGGTGACACAAGTCAGACACTGGGAGGGAGGAGGGGTGCTCAGAAACTTGTTTATGCCTAATGTCTTCTCTCTCTCTCTCTCTCTCACACACACACACACACACATACACACACACACACACACACACACACACACACACACACGGGGAGGGGGGAGGGCAGAACAGCAGATTCCATCCAGCAACTACTGTTCCAGAAGCAGTCCCCAATTACTCAGCGTGTTCCCAACCAGCGCCCCTGCACCCCTCTCCACGGGGACCCCTCGCTCACCCCTCGGATGTCCCAGTAACCCAGTGTCATAGGCATGGTGCTGGTGCTGTGAACTGAGCAGACTGACTTCGCCCCGACTGGCTTCCAGCAGCACTTGAGGCCAACTGAGGAAGAAAGCTCAGCTTTGCCCAAGTCAGTCTTCGGCCCGCCCCGTGCCTCTTGGCGCCGCCCCGTCCAACACCTCTGCCAATCCGGAAAGCCTGGATTTAGCGCTGGGACCACACCCACTAGGAGGAGTAACAATCAATGCAGCCCCTGCCAGGAACCTCCCAGGACTGGGCCTCCAGAAGCCAAGCCTGGGTTCAGCTAGGCTGCTCCCCAGCCCAGCCAGAGGGTCATTGCCAGAACCCTGCTCTGCTGAATCCACGATGCTTTGGCAGTGTTGTTGGGTGACAAGAATATCCATAACGTTCTCCTGCGTTCTCCTCGTGACATAGTTCAGTCTCCATCACTGTCGAGTTCCTGCAGGCTCTGGGTGGCTCAGGCTGTGAGGAATACCTTGCAAGTAATCACCTGAAAGGATAATCCTCCACTTTGTCATAGGAGATCTTAGAAATCAGATGATCTGCAGAGTTCTGCTAAGGTGAGTCGCTCAGAGCCATGACACTGGAGCTGACAGTACAGGCCCAGCGGCCACTGCTCCCCGGTTTTGTCCAGTTCTGTGTGTAAGCTTAGGCCTCAAGTGAGGTTCTCTCTGGATTTGTGCACAGAGACCCAGTGCCCTGCTCTCACACAGGGCTGGCCCTTCACATTGTTTTAAGTCCTTACAAATTACTTGTCACTCTGAGTGTTGTATATCTTCAGGGAGAAAGGTTCTAGACTCAATTGAGCAAATAAAATTTTAAGCTAAAACATTAGAATCATAACTGTCGAAGAACCAAAGTAGTATGTTCATATGTATTGGTCAAAGACTCCTTTCTTGAGGTAGGAGGCCAGTTATTGACCCCTCTCACACACCAGGCCCCAGGAGCAATACAGCCCCTCACTAGACTGTAGTTTGGATGTCAAAGAAGACAACTGAAATGGGAACAACAGGGAGAGACTTTGGAAACATGAGGCACATCTTCATGTATGCCCTGAGAAGAGTGGACAGGGAGGGAGGCTGGGTGAAGGAAAGGGAGGCCATGCTGTCCAGGGCAAGGACTCTCAGGAGCTGGGAAGGTGGGCTCTTGCAGAGGACAGCTCTGTCAAAGAAAAAGAAGGCCTGGACCAGCAGAATCTCAAAGGCAGAATCCCCACCAGCCAGGAGAGACATCTAAGTGGGTGCCATAGGTCTCTGAAAGGCAGAAGGGGGCAATCAGGACTGGAAACATTGGAAGTGGGCCTGAAGCAAGGGACTGTGGTCCATTAATGACCTCACAGTAATTTGCCCTAATGTTGCTCAATTCTCTGGATATCTGTATGCTATATCCTGAGCATATAGTGAGGACTGTTTTTAACTCTTTAAAGAGACACTGTGCAGGTCATCAACATATATTGGTAGAACATGGTAGAATGACTCCTAGACTGGAATCCATAATTCCATTGAGCTCTATGGTAACACTTTTAAGGCAATTCACAGAAATTCTACATAAAGTTACCTCCGTTATTTTTTATAATACAACTTACTAGAAGTAAATAACTATACACAAGTTAAAATGTATCTACTTCATGGAAAAAATTTCTTAAATACTGTGTGTATAAATTTAGGAAATCCAGAAATTTTCTTAACCTGAAAAAAGAAAATAATTATGTTCACATTCAAAGTTATGAAAGGAGACCCTTTTTCTCTTTTTCTTTTAATTTTTTAAATTATCTTTAAGTGATTGTGCAAAGGTGATTCAATTAAACATGTCAGTTTATGATACAATGCATCCGGATAAAATAGTTCCTAATCCCTCATCATTTACAAAAATGAACACAAAATAAGTATGATGGTGTGTGCTTTTAATGCCAGCACTCAGGTAGAAAGCAAGAGGGTAACAAGTTGATGGGCAGTCTAGGCTACAGAAAGAGACTCAAGAGGCTAAGAGCTGAAGAATCTCAGTTTGAGATGGTTTGGGCAGAAACGTTTTCCCAGACAAATACATAGGGAAAATTCTTTAGGATGTTAGTATACACAAAACCCCAAAAGCACAGGAGACCAAAGCAAAACCAGACAAATGGGGTTACACTAAACCTAAAAGTCTCTTCTCTACAAAGAAATAAGCAACAAAGTAAGGACAGAGTCTACAGAATGGGAGAAAACATTAGCAAACTATGTATCTGACAAGGGATTAATATCTGAAATATGTAAGAACTCTAACAAACTCAATAACAAATAATTATAATAACTGGATTAAAAAGTAGGGTAATATACCAAAATCAACATTTCTGAAAAGAAGATATGGACAGTAGATATGTGAAAAACGCTCAATATCACTGATCATCAGTAAAATGCAAACCAAAATCACAATGAGATATACCTCATCACATTAAGAAAGGTGATTCTCAAAAAGAACAAAGAGGGCTGAGAAGGTGGCTCAGTGGTAGAGCGCTTGCCTTGCATGCATGAAGCCCTGGGTTTGATTCCTCAGCACCACATGAGCAGAAAATATAAAAGCAAGAAGTGGTGCTATGGCTCAAGTGGTAGAGCGCTAGCCTTGAGCTGAAGAGCTGAGTGATAGCACCCAGGCCCAGAGTTCAGGCCTCACCACAAACCCCCCCCAAAAAAAAATAAAAAAAAAGAACAAAGAAAACAAGTAGTTAGGCCCTGGTTGCTCACACCTTGACTTGTAAATACTGAGGAGGCTAAGATTTGAGGATTATGGTTCGAAGCCAGCCCAGACAAGAAAGTCTGAGACTGTTACCTCCACTTAACCAACCAAAAGCCAGAAGTGATGTGGTGGCTCAAGTGGTATATTGCTAGCCTTGAACAAAAATCAGTTCCCAGGCCCTGAGTTCAAGCCCCAGGACTGGCACAAGAAAGAAGGAAGACAGGAAGGCAGAAAGGCCAGAAGGAAAGAAGGAAGGAAGGCAGAAAGGAAGGAAGGAAGGAAGGAAAGAAGGAAGGAAGGCAGAAAGGAAGGAAGGAAGGAGAAGTGTATGTGATGGCTTGGGGAAACACTTGTACACTCTTATGAATGTGAATTATTATACCCATTATGGAAAACAATATAGTCGTTCCTCTAAAATTTAAAAATAGAACTATAAATGATCTAGCAATGCCACTATGGAGGATTTATCCTAGGGAAATCAAATCAGCATGTGAAAGACATCTGTATTCCCATGTTTATTTCAGCACTATTCACAATATAGTCAAAAAACTGAAATCAACCTTTAAGTGTCCATCAATTGATAAATGGAAAAAGGAAATGGTGTACATATACCATGGAATGCTATTCAGCTGTAAAAAGAATGGAATCACCTCTTCAACCAGTGATGCTGGAGAACTGGATAGTTGAAACTAGATCCCTGTTTCTCTCCCTGTACAACAGCTGAAAAGGAATCAAAGACCTCAGTACAAGGAAGTGTTGGGAAAATTCTGCAAAATGTTGGCACAGGCAAAGAGAACCTGGAATTGACTCATATGACTCAGCAAATAAAGGCAAGAACTGAAAACTAGTATTAAACATAAAGTTCTACAGAGCAAAGGAAATAATTCACAGAGAGAAGAAACAGCCTACAGAATGGAAGTAAACCTTTGCCAGCTATTCATCTGACAGAGAACCAATATGAAGAACATATAATAATTCAACAATGGGCTGGGAATATGGCTTAGTGGTAGATATGGATCAAGGAGTGGAGTTATGTTTAGACAGGAGCAAGAGTTCCAATATGCTAGTATTGCAGAGTGTGGGGAGGGGATTTAATAACAATGATAATGTGGAAAAACCAGCCTGGGCAGGAAAATCTCTAACCCTTGTTCCCCCAGTTAATGAGCAAAAAGCCAGAGGTGGAGACGTGGCTCAAGTGTTAGAGCACTGGCCTTGAGGGAAAAAGCTAAGCGAGAGTGAGAGGTCCTGAGTTCAAGCCCCGGTACAGGTGCATGTGCACACGCATACACACCCACCTACAAAGAAAACAAAAAGAAGAAGAGAAGAAAAGAAAAGCAAAGAAAGGATTGTGCATGTTTCCACCACAAATATTGGTTGTATGTCTGCGGTTTGATTTCAGGGTCCTGCTTAAGCCATGCCCAGCCCAAGCTTCTTTTTTATATAGCTGTCTGATACAAACTAGTTGTAAATCTGGACTTAGAGTGCCACCTAGTACAGAGATGACTACAGTTTTAAACAAAATAAGGCAGGAATTTTGCTGATATCAACCATCACAAACTATGGGAAGGGTTGGTCACTTAGCTTTGCTGTAATCTGGAAAGAGCACAGCTCATTTGGTAGGATTTAGAGAACTCATCTTACTACAAAGACCCACCTGGGAAGGTAGCACAGTGAGGATGACTATGAATCACTGTCCTATATTAGGGCCTGAATCCTCACCCAGACTCCAGCATCAAGAGAAAAAGTAGAATGTCCTACCAAGAACTAGTGACTCATGCTTGTAATCCTAGCTATTCAGGAAGCTGAGATATAAGGATTGCTGCTTGAAGCTGGCCCTGCAAGACAAATCCAAAGAATCTTATCTCCAAACTAACTAGTAAAAGCTGGAAGTGGAGGTGTGGTTCAAGTGATAGAGTGCCAGATTTGAGTGAAAAAGCTAAGTGAGAGCCTGAGGACCTGAGTTCAAGACCAAGTAGTAGTGCGCGCGCGCACACACACACACACATACACACGCGCGCACACACACACACACACACACACAACAATAACAAGTGAAAAGAAAATATAGGGGCTGGGAAGGTGGCTCAGTGGTAGAGCGCTTGCCTCGCATGCACCACATAAGCAAAAAAAGCCAGAAGTGGCGCTGTGGCTCAAGTGTAGAACGCTAACCTTGAGCTGAAGAGCTGAGGGACAGCGCCCAGGCCCCACGACTGAGAGAGAGAGAGAGAATATAGTGTCTTGATCATAACTATTTTTGTGCTAAGACACAGCATGCTAAGAGGATTCAGGCAGAGAGAAAGATGGGAGAGAGCAGAAGAGCCATGTACACAAAGGAATAGCTGGCTACATAGGAGTTCTTTTCCCTTTTTGGAAATTTTCCTGAAGCCTGACTTCACACCAAAAAAAAAAAAAAGAGAAACAAAGAGGGGACATGTTCACAACATGGTCCAGGACAAATACACATAGATGACGACTTGAAACAAAATCTCCATCAAAAGCTGGGCACTGGTGGGTCATGTCTATAATCCTAGCTATTCAGGAGGCTGAGATCTAAGGAACATATTTCAAAGCCAGCCTGGGCAGGAAAGTCCATGAGACTCTTTTTTTTTGGGGGGGGGCTTGAACTTTGAGCCTGGGCGCTGTCCCTCAGGAATTCAGCCCAAGGCTAGCGTTCTACCACTTGAGCCACATTGCCACTTCCAATTTTTTGGTGGTTTATTGGAGATAAGAGTCTCACAGACTTTCCTGCCTGGGCAGGCTTAGAATCATGATCCTCAGTTCTCAGCCTCCTGAGTAGCTAGGATTATAGGCAGGAGCCACCAGAACCTGATTGGGTGATTTTTAAGTGAAAAAAAAAATATTGTACCTCCAAATCTCCATCCAGTCCATTCCAAATAGAAAAAAAATATAATGGTTTGTTGTATTTCATCATATAAATGTATTCATCCATTTTTGCAACTTACTTGCAAATTTGTTTACAATATAGTCAATAGTGTTCCACAGAAGCAGAGCAGAATAGGTAAAATAGATGAATAGATACATCAGTTTATTAATATATACATATACATGTGTATGTGTGCGCATATATCTATACATGTATATATATATATTATATATATATGTATGAATTGATTCAACAGATTATGAAGAGAATTCCCATGGTCACTCTGCAATTCAGGAAGTCAATGGTATAAGTCAGTCAATGGTATGAAGGTGTATGTAGGTAGAAGATGATTGCAAGTCCCTTGTATGTTGGAGGATACAGAACCAATTGTCTAGATACTCCAAACCAAGGTGGATGCTAGTGCTCAACCCTATAATCTCAGCCCCCAGGAGATTTGAGGGTGGGGATTCAAAGCCAGTCCAGGAAGAAAAATCTGTGAAACTCTTATCTCCAATCAACCAGCAAAAAGATTTTTTTTCTAATAAAATACTCCTAGGGCTGGGAAGGTGGCTCAGTGGTAAAGTGCTTGCCTCACATACATGTGGCCCTGAGTTTGATTCCTCAGTACCACATAAGCAGAAAAGACCAGAAATGGTGCTGTAGCTCAAGTAGTAGAGCCTTGAGCTGAAGAGCTGAGGGATCTTGCTCAGGCCCAGAGTTCAGGCCCCATGACCAACAAAAGCTAAATAAATAAATCAAGTAAAAATAAAATACTCCCTGTGCACAGGAAGAAAAGCAATCCTAATCTGTTTTTCTTTGTAATAACAATTTATAAAAACTATACTTGTTTATAGGCCTATATATTATAAAAGAGTTAAATGCAAATTTTATTGGATTTCACAGATTATAGGATGAAACAAATTAATATCTTTTGTTTAAATAATGATGGGGTCCTTCCTAATCTACCTGGACACAAACCATGGATAGATGAGAAACTTCTGAAATTCTTCTAGGATCTGAGGTGCAGGTAGAGTGGGACTAGGGGGATGTGATCTTACAGTAGATGAGAGAAAGGGAAATGGTTAAGTATGTAGGGCTAAAAAAATGGCAGATAAGGGGCTGGGAAGGTGGCTCAGTGGTAGAGCACTTGCCTTGTATGCATGAGGCCCTGGGTTTGATTCCTAAGCAGGACATTAGAAAAGGAAAAAAGCCGGATGTGGCGCTGTGGCTCAAGTGGTAGAATGCTAGCCTTGAGCTGAAGAGCTAAGGGACAGCGCCCAGACCCAGAGTTCAGGCCCCAGGACCAGAACCCCTCCTCAAAAAAATGATAGATAACACATGTCCCACTATGGCCATTCTTGTTCCCATAGTGCCTCAGGCTCCTGCTCAAATGCTTCTAGCCATAAGGCTGATTTCTCGCTCACTTTTTCTTCCCATAATGCTGTTTACCTGCTCAACCAATGAAAGGATGCCATATGCACAAGCCATGAAGCCATCAGTGCAAAGCCAAAGGGAAGAGATATGACAGGAGCCCATTCTATAATAACCCTCATCTGGAGGGTTCAGGTAACCGCTGGAGCAGTGACACAGGCTTCTGAGTCATAGGAGACAGGGTCCAGGAAGACAGACAATTCACATCTGGGGCCAGTGTTACAAGTCTTCTGATTGTACAATATTTGACAGTCATGGTTGGGAGGGGCAAGTGCTCTGGCTCTCATGCATTGGTGATATCAGGTTCACTCCAAGAACAGTTCACACCACCTACTGCTGCTGCCAGAGAGCCCATTCCATGGGCGCCATCAGCTGCCTATCCAAGGCCACGAACTGTCATGGAACTTCTCAGCTCTTGTCTGTCCGAAGGTAAGTGCGGCACTTGCCCGTTCCCCAGCCTCCCTCAGCCTGGGAGACAATCAGATGCAGCAAGGAGTCAACTCAAGCAGGAAGAAAATTTATTAACAGAGAGCAGCCCTTTTTAAAGCCAAAAAGGAGGGGGTGGCATGGCAGGGGAGGAAAAGGAACCAATCACTGTCAAGGTCACACCCTATCATGTGCCTAAGCTTCCAGGGGCTGGTTATGCACTGAAGGTGAGGCAAATTGGGCTCTGCCCACTCTACTCTCTCTCAGCGCCATCTCTGCTGCCCATGTGCTCTACAGTAAATCGGGCTCTGCCCACTCAACTCCCTCTCAGCGCCATCTTTGCTGCCCATGTGCTCTGCAGATTCCCCCTTTTTTGTTTTAATGGCAGATCCAACTCCCAGTTAGTTATCCTTTTCCCTCCTCTGTAAAGGTTGTTTTAACAGGATTACATTGATAAGGATAGCATTGGCCACACAGGGGGTTCGAGGCAAGTCTGGGAGGCGAGATTCACCAGACAAGGATAGGGAGGGTCCTTGTGCATGATCCAAGAGCCCGTTCCAGTTACCTCACATCCCCACCTAGCACAGTAATAAACATCAGTCCCACCACAGTTAGAAATGTCCAAAGCAGCTCAATTAATTCCTGGGCATATATAAAAGTCAGTATCTAGTAAGGTCGTCCTCTTCAGAACATGGGAGCAGCCTGGGTACTGGGAGTTCCACACATGCGGTATGGTGCATCCTCGTGGGCCCCCACACTCAGGCCGTTCTACTATAGTCCAGAAAAACAAGGAAAATTTAAAACAAACTGCAGACATAGCAAAGCAATCCTGGGTACCTAGTGTCTTTTAAGTAAGCCAGTTCTTTGTATGTGCCTTTAAGTGAGCACAAGGGTCAAGATGACCTTTGAGCTTTACTGTCAGCTCCCAATAGCTCCCAATATCATCTCCCCCATCTTTGTTTAAAGAAGCGAACCCACCTGTGTTAGGTTGGGTGGGTCGCCTTGTCTGCCTTACCCGTCATCGGGAACTTCTTCAGAGCGAGGCTGAAGGCCCTGTCTTAGGTTGGTCAGACTGACACCCCCTCTTACCTGTCTCTGGCTGTGATTCCTCTTGAGGGAAATTCATTCACTTGGAGCTTGATCTTATGTAACTAGCTGGCTAAGCTCATAAAAGTTTTGCCGTGCACGTATAATGTAAGGAAGGCATAGAAAAACCATCAGCAAAAGCATTACCAGGCCAGGAAATGGCATTACCAGTCCTTTAACATTAGTCAAGGATGGGATAGCAGTCTTTGCCACTTCAGAGTCCAGAGGTGGGGCTTGTTCTAATCCAGCTATTTGCCTGTGGGGTTGCAAAAGATCTAAACTGGAAGCATAACAAAAGGTGCTTGTGGAACAATAAGTATGAATTCAATAATGCACTATACAAACAATTAGCAAAAGAACAATTAAAGCAGGTAACATTAAAATAATTAGCTTCTACAGAAATATTAAACAGTCCATACATAATGACATAGGGTGGTGATCAAAATGAAGGTCAGGCCACCAGGTTGAAGGTACAGCTTCTCTTGTGGTGCTATTGATGATTTCTACATTGCCAGCTCTGATCACTGCCCAGGTACCCATTGAGGTTGATGCAGATTCTGTAGGGCCATTCCTGGGACTGGGAGGGTCAGGATAGCCAAGGGCTGGAATATCACCATCTGCAATTGTTAGAGAACACCAGAGCTTCTCAAGGGCTGGTTGCCCTTAGGGATGGTTAGTAGTTATCTTTCTGGCTTTTCTCTTTTAAACACAAGCCTCAGCCACCATAGCCATTTTTCTTTCCTTGTTGGTTAGCTTATCCTTGGGTATCCTCCTGAATAGAGGAGATGGGTAAAAACTTAAGGTTCCTGGCAGGGATCCAAATGGGAGCAGACTCCCCTATGGGGAAAACGCATCCAAATCCTATGTCCATGGTAACTAGGGGGTCAGGTCCTCTCCATTGTAGTGTCAGGGGGTCCTTCCACCTGACTTTTACTTGGGGCTTAGGGTTTAGTTGTCCCCAGTGCTTCTGAAATCTGGATTCAGTTGCCCCTTTTGAAAAATTTAAAATGTTAATGGTAAACAAAGTTATCTGTAACTATATATGGGGGCTAACTCCCATTCTTTGTTTTAAGACACTGGTGATTTCTTTCCATAATTGCTTGGCCTTGGGGATTATAGGGAATTCCTTTAGTATGATTATTATGCCATTTGTCAAAAAAAATCTGACATTGCTTTACTAACAAAACAGGGTCCATTATTGGTTTTATCTTGTGCTGGTAGACCCAAGGTGGCAAAGCATTGAAGAAAAAGTGCTTGTGAATGCTTAATTCTTTCTCCTGTATGTGCTATGGCCCAGCATGCCCCTGAGTAGGTATCTATAGAAACAAAGATATATTTAAACTTACCAAAGGCTAAGAAATGAGTAACATCCGTTTGCCAGAGGATGTTAGGTTTAAGGCCTCTGGGATTTACCCCTGGTGGTTGTAACAGTGTACTCTTAAGAAGGGCTGCCATGTTTTACAGGTATGTACTATCCTTTTGAGGTCGTTTACAGGAATCTGAGGATATCTATGCTAAGGACCTCTCCGATTAATGTGGGTTAAATCATGCAAACAGGTAGCTTCTTGTAATGTTCATTAATGCTTGTGGGCCAGTAACTAACTGGTCTGCCCAATTATTGCCTAGGGATAAAAACCCAGGAAGTTTTGAATGCCCTCTCAAATGTTGAATATGAATAGGGGCTCCCCACCCTTCTAATAGGCCCTTAAGGGTAACCATAAAAGGAGAAATAGGGTTTTCATCCAGCTTAATATGTGCCTGGGGAATATGAGGGAGCAAGTTAATCATATATAGGCTATCAGAATACAAATTAAAGGGTTTTTGAATGTCCTGAAGGGCCATAATTATGGCCAGCATTTCTTTACATCGTGCTGACCCTTGACAAGGTTGAAATCTTTGTTAGCTCGAGGTCTTTTGTTGCTCCTCAAAGGCTGCATAGGCAGAGCCTGCTTTACCTCATCTGTAAAAACATGGAGGGCCCCAGGAATAGGCGTAGGAGAAAATAGAGATGGCATTTTGAGGGGAAGTCGCCATAACATGACAGTCCATTTGAATGGCCCATAATGGCAGTCAATTTGGCCTAGAAACCCCTCCAAGGAGAGAGCAAGATGAGCATTGGCTCGAGTGAGCCACTCAATGTCTGCCATCCGAAAAGGAAAAACAATGGGGTGCGATAGAGCACCAGCCTAGAAAGAGGGGGGAAAAAAGAGCCAAGCAAGAGCTAGAGGCCCTAAATTCAGTTTCTAATACTGCTGTGCCCACACACAAGCACACACACTTGAGTCTTTAAAATTGGCTGCCACAGCCATGGGGAAGAGCAAGATCTGAAGCACCAGAGCTGGGCTGTGGGAAGATGGGGACCTCACAATGGAGGCCCAGGAGGGTCAAGGCCATAATGCCTTTGGGATTGGGTCCGTCCCTTAACAATAGCATCTGCAAGTTGGTCTGCTTGAGAGTACACCCAAGGTGTGCCCCCCAGGGGAGTGTGAACCCACTCTAATGGCTCCCCACTTTGAGTTAAAACTGCTGAAATTAATGTGACACCTGCAAACAACCAAAGGGAAATGGGCTCAAAAATAGAATACCCCTTTAGGGAAACTTCATCCAGGGCTTTTTGGAACTGCAAAAATATTGCCCAATGGCTGTCTGTAATTGTAATAACTTCTTGGGGCGTCCTGTCTTTTAGCAGGGCAAATAAGGGCACAAGACTATCTTTAGGGAGAAACCCATGGCACCAGCCAATTGATTTCCCCTAAAAGACTCTGAAGTTGGATTAAGGTTAGAGAGGCTGGAATATCCACCAAAGGCTAAAGGGGGCTGGCCTGAGTCAAGGTAAGGTGGGTCCCAAGCACCTTAAAAGGAGCTATGTTTTGAATTTTATAAAGGGCTATGGTAAAAATCCCCTTTTTTAATATGGTGAGAACTTGGGCCAGAAGGCCCTCCAGGCAGCTCGAGTCTTGGTGCCCCAGATATATATCATCCATGGAGGCATAGGCAAGGGAGGTATCTGAACCCAGCACAGTCCCTAAAAGTGTGGCCAAGTATTGTTGGCAAAAGGCCGGGCTATTGGCCATTCCCTGTCGCAGCATTGTCCATTCAAACCTCCATCAGGCTGGGAAAAATTCAGAGAAGGTATGGAGAAAGCAAACTTCTCCCAGTCATCTGGATGTAGGGGGATAGAAAAAAAAACAATCTTTACTATCAATCACAACCAAGGTATATTCTGAAGGTATAGCGGGAGTCCAGGGCATGCCTCTTAGGGGCGTTCCTACTAGCTCCATCCTTTCATTTACCTTACGTAGGTCTTGGAGTATAAGCCAGGCCCCGGAGGCTTTTTGAGTAACAATACAGGTGTGTTCCAAGGACTCATAGAAGGGTGTGTGTGCCCAAGGTTTATCTGTTCCTCCACCAGAAGGTGGAGAGCTACAAGTTTAGGTTTGGTCAATGGCCACTGCTCTGCCCAGATTGGGCTTCTTGGCTTCCACCTAATGGGAGGTACTCAGGGGACAGTGGCCTTTAGGATTGGGGGTACACCTGAGCGGGTCCCCTATGCTCTTCTCTGTAATTATGAAAGTTAAAAAAATCCTTTTCCTTAACTCCCTCTAGATCCTGTTTAAGCCTTTGTACTTCTTTTCCATCCAGGATGGTCTGTTGTGACCACAGCGTCCATTTGTCTTAGCATGTCATGCCCTTGTAAATAGGCAGTGAGGTTTTCTTTTGCCACTAAAGGGCGTATCTTTCCATGTTTTCCGATTGAGCTAGTACATTTCATTATGGCAACCATATCTTTGGACTGGGAGTTGCCCCCTACCGCCAATATCGGGGGCCCGGGTGCAAGCTTCCAGTCCAAAGGTAGTTCCTACTCCCTAAGAATGGTTCGATCTGCCCCCCATGTCAATTAAGCAGTGAAACCTCTTTCCGCCTATGAGAATACTCATTTTAGGGTGGACTCCTTC